CCTAGTAGGCCAGACCCAGGAGGCTTCCACCACTCTCCTAGGGACTCATTTGTCTTTCATATGCCTCACAATCCCACCTTGTTAAAAGGACCAGAAACAGGCTGAACCCTTTCCGCATCCTAATACCCCAGTGTTGCTGTTACCACAAGCACGCAGGCAGGTTCTCACTGAGGGCATGCTGTCCCGAGGCCTGGGGGACACTTGATAAAGCAAACCAGCTAATCTGCCAGCTGTCCCTCCTCTGGAGAAGAGAGAAGAGGAGGCAGGAGGGCCCCTGATGACAGCTTTATCACTACTGGCCCCTCTGGCAAGGCTGATGGGTGGAGCAGACAGCAGACAGGCCCTTTGTGGCTGATAGCCTTAGATCTCTGCTCTGTGAAGGGTGGGGGAGGTCACCTCTGCCAGGAGTGGCAAGTGACCCCACCCACTGGATTCCCCACACCTGGACTTGTTGCTGGGGTATAGGTTAAAGGCCTGTGAGCCTCCCCCACATATCATTGGTGGGAATTACCAGGGAGCAGGATGGCCGAGGAGGGTAGGGAGAGGAGGCTTCTGTGTGTAAGGAAAGGTTTAGGCCATTTCAGGAAGGGTTTCAGTTTGTTTAGGAGGGAGCAGGTCTGGACACTGCCCCTGAGGAGGATGGCTGGTTTCCTGAGGCCGAGGTCTGACTGTGGCAGAGATGGCTGGCAGAGTGTCCTGGGCATGGGTGGGAGGGTTATTTCTACAGGAACTCAGCCAGGAAAAGAGCTGCTTCTACTGTCTTCAGGGGGTGGTAGCTGTGAGGGGTGGGACCCCCCACAGAGAACGCATGCTACTCCCGCCCCCTGGTGCCCTGCAACTCCATCACCTATTCCGTTGGGCCCAAGCCGGAGACACTCCATTGCCCTCCCTGGCCCGCAGGTGAACGTCCTGGCCCTCAGCATCTGCACTCGGGAAGCTTATCAGTCCATGAAGGAGCGGAATGTGGACGACGGGCATATCATTAACATCAACAGGTGAGGCCCGGTGGCCTAAGCTCAGCACAGGTCTGTTCAGCAGTGACCCACCTGTCTCAGCTCCTTAACCTCCAAATGGCAGTTTCTTTGGTAGTAAGACAGGCGTTTAATATCTAAGTGGCATGATGCTGACCAAGGGTAGAGCAGACAGCTCAGCCCCTGCCCTCCATGGCCAATGCCTGGGCCTTTCCAGGAACTGGGTGTCATTGTGCATTTTCCTCAGATCCAAGGATAAACCCGCCTTGTGGGCTGAAGACACTGCACAGGCTCTAGCATAGGAGAGAGCCCATTGTCTATTGAGGGGCGTGGGGACAACCCCAGAGACCTCCCAGCACAGCCCCGCCAGTGAGCACACAGACAACATGGTGAGGCTCCTGTTAACCTGTCTGGCTGCAGAAGGGAGTACACAGCCAGCAGGACAGCTTCAAGGCAAAGCCGGTTTCAGGAGCTGCAGAGACAAGAGACTAGATTCCCCAGACAGTGGTGGCGCATGCCTTTAATGCCAGAACTCCCAGAGGCAGAGGCAGGCGGATCTCTGTGAGTTTGAGGCCAGCCTGGTCTACAGAGAGAGTTCCAGGACAGCTAGCACTGTTACACAGAGAAACCCTATCTTGAAAAACCAAAAACTGAACTGTAGGGGTAACCATCAGAAGTCCCCCCGGCAAGGCTTCCCTGTTGGCCTCTGGGTAACGAGGCTGACCAGGGTGCTAGGAATACTGCCTGTGTCTATGGAACTTTACTCTCTCCTCTCTCCCTTCCCTTCTTCCACCCAGCATGTGTGGCCACCGAGTCCCACCCCAGTCTGTCATCCATTTCTATAGTGCGACCAAGTATGCCGTCACTGCATTGACAGAGGGACTAAGGCAAGAGCTTCTGGAGGCCCAGACCCATATCCGGGCCACGGTGAGGCTGTGGTCTAGCCCTGGTGGGAATGGCACGGGCCCAGCCCTCCTGCCTGCACATGCCCAGAAAGGCCTCCTGAGAGCCTTGGGTTCAACTGAGTGCACAAGTCCTGGGCGCTTCTGCTCCTGACAAGGACAGTCTCCTCCCTTCATTCACCTAGAACCCAGGGTCAGATTTACACTGTTAGTGGGAGGGGCCGACTTGAAGGGAGCCTGGAGTGAGACTAAGGGAAATCAGACACCGTGACTGGAGGCCAGCACTCTGGCCCCTTCCTTAGAAGGCCACATGACTTTGGGTAAATCACTGAACCTCCCAAAGCCTCAGTTTTCACATCTGTGAAATGGAATAATACTTATCTGGTTATGAGGTTAAGCAACACCACTTTGTAAAGCATTAACCAAATATATAGGAACAGCTCCATATGTATACAGGGTATTCTGATAGGTGTCAGTTGGAGCTCTCAGTGGTGACTTTGGACTTTGGAAGGAGGAGGACAATTGACATGAGGCAGCTGTCCTTGTGAATCTATCCTTTCCCTTCTACCTCATGACCTGCTGAAGCTCAGGCTGAGCAGGACCTCTCTGTTGGCCCAGTGTATCTCTCCAGGCTTGGTGGAAACACGGTTTGCCTTCAAACTCCATGACAAGGACCCCGAGAGAGCAGCAGCCACCTATGAAGACATAAAGGTGGGGCCTTCTTCTGGACCCAAGTACCCTCAGGCTGTCCTCTCTGCCTAGCCTATCACTCCTTGAGGGTTAGGGTGGGATGCGGATGTTAGAGAGAGAGTCCCTCTGAGGTGGGGAGGAACTTGGGTCACTTCTGCCCTTGTCTCAACCCTTTTCCCCCGGTGCTCGCTCTCAGTGTCTCAAACCGGAGGATGTGGCTGAGGCTGTCATCTACGTCCTCAGCACCCCCCCACATGTTCAGGTGAGTCTGCCCTTAGCTCTTTACCCACTGGGAGCAGCCCAAGTGTGCCCAGGGAGTCCTTTAGGGGGTGATTGCCTCAAATCGTCTGCCTTCCACAGGTTGGAGACATCCAGATGAGGCCCACAGAGCAGGTGACCTAGTGTTCTGTGGGGAGCTCCTGACTTCCCCACCCTTCACGGCTTGCCTCCTGCCTCTGGATTTTAGGTGTTGATTTCTGGACCCTGGATCTAACTTTCTGTATCCAATTCACTAGGGATAGGAAATTTGTCAAATTATTCTGTTTATACTTGTGAACAAATGGGCTGGGAAGAGAAGGCACGGTCGTGACCATTTTATCTGTTGACCTGTTCTGAGTCCCCTGTTGGGCTCCTTAACCTTCTCTCCTCAGCCTCTTCCTTTTGACCTGGGCAAGGGAATGTGGCCAAAAGGGGCACTGTCTATCTTCTTGCACCCCACCCTCTGTCCCTTAGGGTTGGGGTGGCAGAGACAGGCCTCATCCTATACCTGTGTAGGCTCCCTTCCTCACTCCCCACCTCTCCAGCCCAACTTTAGCTCTTATCCTGGGGTCATCACTGCACTCTGACCATGGCCACAGAATACTAGGCCTGTCTCCCAGCTTACTGTAACAATTAAAGAGAAAGATCACAACCTACTCTGGCTTCAGAAGTGTCTTTCATTCCCCCCCCCCCCATTTTGGTGATCAGTGTGGTTGTGTCTGAGAATTTCTTCCAGGTAAGTGGGAAGGTAGGTAAATTTGGAGTAACCATTCTGGAGTGGGAGCAGGGGATGGTTGGTGCTGGGGTCAGCCAAGGATACATGTGTCTCCAAAAAAAAAAAAACAAACAAACAAACAAACCCCAAAACCAAAAAACTTAAGTTAGTAAGTAAATAAATACTTTATTTATAAAGGGCTGGGGAAGTGGTTCAGCAGTTAAGAACATTGGCTGCTCCTCTGGACGACCCAAGTTTGATTCCCAGAACCCACATGGTGACTCCACTGTCAGGAAATATACATTTTCTTCTGGTCTCCTGGGGCACCAGGCATGCTTGTGATGCACAGCCATGCTCACAGACAATACACCTCCACACATAAACAATGAAAGAATTTTGAAAAATAAAATAAATTGGCCCCGGGTGTACCAACACCTGAGAAGCAGAATCAGGGTGATCGCTGCGAATTTGTGGTCAACCTGGTCTACATAACGAGTTTTAGGTCATGCATGGGGACTAGTGAGACATTGCCTTAAAAAAAAGTTTAGGCCGAGGGATGGAGAAATGGCTCAGCGGTTTCCGAGCACTGGCTGTTCTCCCAGAGGACCTGTGTTCAATTCTCAGCACCCACATGGCAGCTCACAACTGTCTGTAATTCTAGTTCTAGGGGATCCGACAACCTCACACAGAGTATATACACAGGCAAAACACGAGTGTACAATAAATAAATAAATCTTAAAAAAAAAGTCTAGGCCGCGCGGTGGTGGCGCACTCCTTTAATCCCCAGCAGAGGCAGGCAGATCTCTGTGAGTTCGAGGCCAACCTGGTCTACAAGAGCTAGTTCCAGGACAGGCTCCAAAAGCTACAGAGAAACCCTGTCTCGAAAAACAAAACAAAAAAAGGTTTAAAAAGGAAAAAAGCAAAGACAGGTTGAAAAGACTTGGGGGGGGGGGGTCTGAGCAGTGAGCAAAGGAGTCCCAGCTTTACCAAGGGCCACCAGCATCAGCTGCTTGTCCACAGAGACACGATAGACTTGGGGCTTAACCACAGAGGTCCGGAGATGGGAAATATCGCTGGGGTTCTGCTGACTGGTGCTAAAGGTTTGGGTAGCTTCTGGCAATTCCCAGAAACGATGTGCCTGAATGTGGGGAGGAAGGCCCCCAGACTGCCTGATTGAACAGGATGGTCCACCCATCGTCTTAAATTGGTTTTTGCAGGTGCGGAAGTGAATAAGGCTAGCCTAGCCTCCCGACACCTCCCCTCACTCAGAGCAGCCGCAGCTAGGGTCAGCTCAGCAATAGCACAGCCTCGGCTCGCCCGCGGCGATGGAGGAAGTGCGAACCATTGCTGTAGGGGGTGCTGTGGAGACTTAGTTGAGGTCAAACTCGCGTGTGCGTCACCGGACAGGGGGCCGGGCCTCTGGAACCCGGAAGCTGGGGACCCACGTGGGAGTCCGGGAGGCGACTGGCTTGGCTTGGTTGGCAGATTGTGGGACTCGGGGACAGTTTGTCCTACGCGAGGGGACGAGGTGTGGGAGGCCAGCGGGTCCTCTGCAACGGTCTGTTAGTGGAGTCCCGGGCGCAACTGGAGCTATGCGACTGCTCTGGACCGTCGGGTGCTTCGGTCGCGGGATCGTCCGTCATTTCTCCCCGGTGGCGCGGCCTGGCGGGGAGGAGTTGAGCCGCCTGCTTCTGGATGACCTGGCGCCGACCCAGAGGCTGGAACGTCTGTTCGGTCTGTCCCCGTGCCTCCTGGCCCTGCGGGCCGCCCGCCGGAGCGTGGCCCGGCTTCTGCTCCAGGCGGGTAAAGCTGGGCTGCAAGGGGAGCGGGCCGAGCTGCTCCGGGTGGCCGAGGCCCGGGGCATCCCTGTCCTGAGGCCCAGGCGGCAGAAACTGGACGCCTTGTGCGGCCACCAGGTGCACCAGGGCGTTTGCATGGAGGTGAGCCCGCTGCGACCCCGGCCTTGCGATGAGGCCACAGAGGCGAGCCCGGTAGACGACCCTCAGCAACTATGGCTCGTCCTTGAGGGGCTCCAGGATCCCCGGAATCTTGGGGCTGTGCTGCGCTCCGCTCACTTCCTCGGAGTAGACAGAGTCATCACCAGCCGGAGAAACAGGCAGGAAGTCCCTTAGTGGAGGCGGAGTCAAGTTCCTAAGCACCTCGGGGTGGGGGTCCCTCGTCCAGGCTCCTGGTTGACGGAGCCTAAACCCTTGGGAGCTAGAGGGTGTGTTGGGCGCGGGGTTTGAGATTACCAGGTTTAACGGAGATCTTGGGGGAACCGGAACCTTTGCAGCTGCCCGCTTACTCCAGTAGTCAGCAAGGCCAGCGCTGGGGCTGTGGAGGTGATGGACGTGTTCGCCACTACTGACCTGGCCGGTTTTTTGAAGGTAACGTGGGACGAGAGGGGAAGGAGAAGCGATGAGTCTAGCTCTGGCGGTTAAAGTCACTTCTAGCTAGCAGTGGATGGGAGGTGGGGTGGGAGAAGGGAACGTGGTGGCATTGATTCCTATGGTCTTTAAAGTCACCAATGGAGCATCGTCTGAAGTTAGGAATTTCCTCGCCTCATTTCTTTTACTACACGCCTTGGCCACCTGCAACAGCAAGTCAGTGTCTGACACCTTTGGGTCTTAAGCAATGCTCTGGGGAGTTGGTGGGCAGGAGATGTGGATACATTGATTAGAAGCTCAACTTGAAAGCAATTTTGAACATGGCTTTGCTAGGGGCGAGCTTTAGCGTTCTTCAGCTGTGTTTCCCTGACTAGACACCAGGAGGCAGCATTGCCTAGCATTTGGCAGACCCTCTGATTTCTGTCTGATTCTCCCCCCCCCTCCCCACCACACCATCCTCACCCCACGGTAAGACAATAACCTTGAAAAGAGGAGGAAGAAAGCCGCCTAATAAACTTATATTCAAGCCACGTGTCTAATTTCAGATTTTCTAGTAACCATGCTGAAAAGTAAAAAGAGCCAGGTGTCTGTAATTTAAGCTCTTAGAAGGTGGAGACAGGAAGACGATTCCTTTCAAGGCCAGCCTGGGCTATGTGAGACCCAACGTCAAAAAACAAAACAATAACAACACCAAACAACCAGAAAAGTAAAAAGAAACATACTTTCATTCAATGTGCCCAAAATATCATTAAAACATACACTTTAGGGCTGGAGAGATGGCTCAGAGGTTAAGAGCACTGGCTGCTCTTCCAGAGGTCCTGAGTTCAATTCCCATCAACCACATGGGGGCTCACAACCATCTATAGTGAGATCTGGTGCACTGTACACATAATATTTAAACAAATAAATAAATCTATCTTTAAAAAAATACACTTTAAATACTAAAAAAAAATTGAGATAGGGTCTTGTGTAGCCCAGGTTGGCCTCAGATTCACAGAAATACTCCTGCCTCAGCCTCTTTATAAGTGTTTAGATTAAATCACATTTAAAAATGTTTATTTATGCCTGGAGTTGGTGGTGCATTCCTTTAATCCTAGCACTTGGGAGGCAGAGGCAGGCAGATCTCAGTGAGTTCGAGGCCAGCCTGTTCTACAAAGCGAGTTCCAGGACAGCCAGGACTGTTACACAGAGAAACCCTATCTTTAAAAACCCAAACCAAGGGGCTGGAGAGATGGCTCAGAGGTTAAGAGCACTGGTTGTTCTTCCAGAGGCCCTGAGTTCAATTCCCAGCAACCACATGGTGGCTCACAACCATCTGTAATGAAATCTGGTGCCCTCTTCTGGCCTGCAGGCACACATGCAGTCAGAATACTGTAAACAAAATAAATAAATCTAAAAAAAAAAAAACCCAAATAACTCCCCCCCCCCCATGTTTATAGATAATACATCTCAATTTGGACTAGCCACGTGTACTGGGACTGGAGAGAAAGAGCACTGACTCCCCCAGAGGTCCCAGGTTTGATTCCCAGCACCCACATGGTGGCTCACAACCATCTGTGACTCCAGTACCAGGGCTTCTGATGCCCTCCCTCTTCTGGCCTCCACCAGTATTGGCATGCGTGGTGCACACATATACATGCAGCTAAACCCTGATACACATAAGAAAGCATCAGAATCATTAGGTCAGGTGTGCCAGCAGCTTTCACATAACCAGCACGTCTAGAAGCCTTTTCTCAGTCATCTCAGAGGCAGTCCCCCTTTCGGGGTCTCTGGCCAAGCCTGGTGGGAAGTAGGAGTCTCTCTCTGTTCCTTTTTTCCCCCAGACTAGGTTTCTCTGTGTAACCCTGGCTGTCCTGGAACTTACTTGTAGACCAGGCTGGTCTTGAACTCAGAGACACACTTGCCTCTACCTTCCGAGTGCTGGGATTAAAGGAGTGTGACACCATCGCTGGGCTGAGACTCCCACTTTACTTGACTGCCTCCCAAATGGATGCTCTAACCTGGATCTCACCCCCCACTCCAACTCTAGACTTAGTGCCTCTGCTACAGCTCTTCCCCTCCGCTCCCACAGTGAGCATTTCAGATGCCCCATTTCTAGGGCTCACCTTCTGTTTTCCTAGGGCCTACCCTGCTCAGTTGTTCAGCTTAGAGATCACCTTTGACTTCTTGTCCTCACAGCTACATCCCACACGTCCCCAAATCCTTTTGCATGGAGTTATTGCTACACCATCCCCATGTCTCACTGTTTCTTCTGCTGCCCTGGTCCGAGTTCACATCTCCCTGTGCTGGGGTCTCAGCGTGGCATGCACAGTGATTCTGCCGACACATCAGACGAGGTCACTTTGCTCAAAATGTTTCAGAGCTCCAGGTCCGGTGGCACATACTTGTAGTCCCAGTACTTGAGAAACTAAGACTGGAAGATCATAGGTTCAAGGCCAGCGTGGGGTTCATAGTGAACTCATGTCTTTAAAAACCAAAGCAAAATAACGCTTTTCAAAGTTTCTATATCAGTATTAAAGCCCTATGCTTCCAGTGGCCCTTGAGACCTTACTCTGTGTGGCTATCGGTTTGCCTCTTTGGCTACCTTCCCCCAGGCCAGCTTACCATTCCTCAGATACAACAGCTGAGCAGGACCTTTGTATCTCCAAACTTGCAGGTCTCCCTGCCTAGAACCTTCCTCCACGGATACTCATCCATTAGTATCTTCAGGTTTGCACTTCGCTGCCACCTCGAGGAGGACTCCACAGCCACTCTGCCACACGGCTGGGATTTCAGTCTGCTATGTTCTCGGCCTCATCCTCAGTGCCCGGAGCAAATGCTGGTCACCTAGAGGATCTGACTCACCCTAGGTCGAAGGCACTTTCAGTGTGTGTGTGCGCGCGCGCGCGCAATCCCGGGCTCCTCAGCCAGGGCTCTGATGGCAATTCGGTGAGCCAGAATGTGGTGTTTTCTTCCCCTTTTCAGGCCAAGGCCCGGCAGGGCTGGCTCGTGGTGGGCACAGTGGGCTGCCCAGGTCCTGAGATCTCCCAGTCCTTCAAGGTCCCCATCACTAGCTGCCTAGAGTTCATCTGGGACCGGCCTACTCTCCTTGTGCTGGGTAGGTATGCTATACCTGCTTTTCCGTTTTCAGTTTTGTATTCTAAGCATGTGGACTTCAGGTTGGGGCTCCCTAACACTGTCGCATGTCCTGCAGGCAATGAGGGCTCTGGTCTGTCCCAGGAGGTTCTTGCTTCCTGCCAGCTGCTCCTCACTATTCTGCCCAGGCGTCAGCTGCCTCCCGGTCTTGAGTCCTTGAATGTGTCTGTGGCCACAGGTGAGTCTACATCTCCCTCACCCCCAACTCCATGGCGATGGCTTCTGTCGCCTCTCATTTTCGGACTGATTTGCCCTGAACAGGCTGTTCCCTCTATGCCACACTTGTTTGTGAAAACAGGAGTGTGCCCTGCATGTGTCCTGAGCCCCTCCCTCTCCCCGTTGCCTTTAGGAATTCTTCTACACTCCATTTGCAGCCAGAAGAAGGGTTTCCCTGCACAGACCGAGAAAGGACAACTTCTCCAAGACACTTGAGAACCCTTAGCTACGCCTGGAGGACTCAGAGAGGCCCAGTAACCAGGACTGCCACTGTGGTCAGACAAACAGGCTCAAAGTGGGCTCATCTCCACTGAGATACACATGTGTAGGAATCGGACCGAGTCGCACGCCGATTCTCACTCAGGCTTGAATGTACCGGGCTCTCTGCCTGCGAGAGGCTGTTTATTGGCTATGGTCAGTGGAGACCAAGGGGGTGGGGTGTCATTTCCAGTTGGAAATGGTAGTTTGCTAATGTTCAGGATGTGTTAAGACAGATGGTGTCTGTCCTGGATCTTTCCTAGGACAGTCAAAGGGATGTCTTGGCATGAGGAAGAATGGGGCAGTCCAGTGCAGGGCGTATGACATATGAGAGTGAGGATGTAGAGGGAAGTTGAGTGGACGCGCATACCTACTCTTGCAGGTGATGAGAATTAAGTGAATGAGGGGTTCCATCCAGTGAGTGCCTTACAGCTGAGCTGAGCTGTCTTGCCCTGTCTCTCCATTAGGTGGCAGTCTTGCTCTTTGCACCATAGTTTTGCAGCTGCAATGCACCATTAGAGACAGGGAAGATACAAACACACACACACACACACACACACACACAGAGAGAGAGAGAGAGAGAGAGAGAGAGAGAGAGAGAGAGAACAGTCCAACCCGATGGAACTCATGACCCAGAGCCCTTGCTTTTGAATCTGAGAGGTTATGAAGTCAGGGTCACTATTATGCAATTCCAAATAGGCTTGGTCCCCTCCTCCAGGGTCCCACAAGTAGATAAAAAGTGTGATATTGCAGAATAGTGGTCTCACTCTGGGCTGCACGTTGGAACACTTGATAAGCATTAATGGAACAAGCCCAATACAGCAGCCACCGTGTGATGCTGAGAAGGGTGTGTAAACCCTGGGCAGTAGGATTTTCTTTCTTTCTTTCTTTCTTTCTTTCTTTCTTTCTTTCTTTCTTTCTTTCCTTTTTGAGATGGGGTTTCATGTACCTAGAGTGTCCTAAAACTTGCCCTTTAGCTGAAGATTACCTTGAACTTTTGATCCTCCTGTCCCTACCTCCCAAGTGCAGGAATTCAAGACACCCCCCACTGTGCCCACTCTATGTGTAGCTGCAGGTAGATCCAGGGCTTTGTGCAAGCTATACAAACACTACTTACTGAGCTCCTTCTGAGCCCTAGCCTGGATGATCCTTTGCCGTAGGAACTGCCCCGAGCACGATGAGACGTACCCACTAGACTCCAGGAGGTCTGTATCCCATCTCCAGTTATGAAACAAAACTGTCCTCACATGGCCAGTATCTTGACTGACAGCCCTGAGTGTGGGATGGAGGACCATCTCTGGATTGTAATCCCGGCGGCTGTGAGACTTGGGAAAAGTCACCTCCACGCTCTCTCTATATCCTTTTAGGATATAAAGAACAACAGGAGCTTGGTGCCCGTTTCCTCTGTGATCTCCCTGGAGTAGGGTCCGAATGGCAGTGAGCACTTAGTACAAGGTTTGAATTTGTTTGCAGAAGGCCTGGAGATCTTACTTTGCTTGCTGCTCTTGAAATTACCGAATAAAAGCACCTAAAGGAAGGGTTTCTTTTGCCTCAAGTTTGAGGAGACACTTTCATTTCCTCATAGTGGGGGTGGGGGGGTGAGGTATAGCAGCAGGAGGGGGTGTGAGGCAGGAGCTGGGGCCCTGGATGCCCGTGCTTGCTCACTCTCTCCCCTTCCCCTGTTCATTTAGTCCGGGGCTCCTGCCGCGGGGTGGTGCTGCCCACATTCAGAGAGAGCCGTCCCTCCTCCATTAGTCCTGTCTAACTGAGAACACCCTCAAAGACATGCCCAGGGGTGGCCCTCACAGGTGATCCCAAAGACAGGCCAATGGTCAGTGAAGATGAACCGTCACAGGTCCCACGGTCACCGTAAAGTTTTCCTCCTAAGGAAAGATGGAGAACCTTTCATCAGCACCATTCCCCCCAGCTCCCCATCTTGAGCTGTGTGTCCCCAGCTGCCACATAAGCTCTGATGACCACTGAGCTCAGGCTGTGCTATCTCACCAAAGAGCAGGGATTTGGTTTTTGTCTTTTTATTGTTTTGTCAATTTTATGAATTCAAATATAGATTTTTAGCATTGCCTGTGCTTTGGAGTCATGGGGTAGGAAAGGGGTTGTCTGTTAATGCCCAGAAGCACCAGATCAATTAAATAACAGTCTCCAGGAAGGAGCCAGGTGTTCCTCTTGCCTTTCTTTGCGTCTTCTTTTCCCTTGAACGTGTGTGTGTGTGTGTGTGTGTGTGTGTGTGTGTGTGTGTACACGACAGCACACATGTGAGATCAGAGGATAACTTGCTGGATGGTATCAAGCCCAAGGACAAGCGCCTTTACCCACTGAGCCACCTGGCCTGCCTGGGCAGTTACAGAGAGAAACCCTGTATCAAACAAAGAAACAAAACCCCGGTGTTTTTGTGTCTGTGCATGTGTGCTGTATACACTGGATCAGTATTTCTTAAAGGTCCCAGCTGGTGTCAGGGTTCAGGAATCCTTGGCTTGCTAGGCATGGCGGTGCATACTTGTAATCCCAGCACTCAGGAGACTGAGGCAGCAGAGTGTTAATGCATTTGAGACTAGCCTGTTTTGTATAGCAGGTACCAGACCAGCCAGGGCTATGTAGCAACACCCTGTTTTAATTTTTTTTTAAAATAGCATTTATCCCCTTCTCCTAGGTGGTGCTCAGTGGCTCTCAGAATGATCTAGTGTTTGACATACCATTATAGGCTTACCTTCAGCACAGCTCTAACGAAATTAAGCTGTCCTGCACCTCTGGTAATAGGTCTGTTTACACTAAGAAGGTTGGGAAAGCACCAACACCCCCAGGTTCTGTGTGCCCAGGCAGACTTCAAGGGATTCCTGCTGTGAGAACTAATGTCCTTAAGAGATTGTCTAAAACTGCTGGGTGGATTTTTTTTTTTTTTTTTTTCTGGTGAGCTTGACTCTAGCTGGAGTGATCTGGGGAGAGAAACCCCAGCAGAGAAAATGCCTCCATCAGATTGGCCTGGAGGCAAGTCAGTGGGCATTTGCCTGATGAATAATTGAAGTGGGAGGGCCTAACCCATTTGTGGGTGGTGTGTGCCAATCCTGGGCAGGTAGGTAGTCCTAGGGTGTAAATGAAAGCAAACCAGGCTGGAGTCATAGTTCATCAGCTAAGCACACTGGCAGCTCTTCCAGGTCCAGTTCCCAGCACTCACGTGGCAGCTCACAGCCATCTGTAACTCCAGTCTTAGGGAAGCTGGCACCAGGCACCCACGTGGTTAAAACATTCCGGGCCCCAGTTTTCATCTCTATAAGACGCAGGTGCAAGAGCATACAAGGAAAGGCCACCGCTCACATCTGGAGGTCATTTGCTGTTTCCTACAGCACCCGAAGACCAGCCTGGAGGTTGGGGCACCAGGATGTGCTTCTCTTTCATACTGGCCTCAGTTTCCCCAGAGGTTCTAGACTTCTATTCAGCCACAATACAGTGATTTTCCATGGGATACTGGAAGGAGTTGGGGGAAGGCTAGACTTGAAAGGACATTTACAGAATTCCCTTTTGGCCAGTCCCCTCCCTTTCCCCCTCCATCCTGGCTAAGATGTGAAGCTCGCAGGAGGGCTGGGAACTAACCTGGAATTTTCCCACCCTCTACATATCCCAACTTTCCTCCCCCCTAGCCAGGCCAGCCTGGAATACACACACACACACACACACACACACACACACACACACACACACACACGTGCGTGTGTATAAAATCAAGAGGCTACATTGCCAAACCTTCCCAGGCCCTAAACTAGATCCCTCTTCTTGCTCCTGCAGGGCCAGGCACCAGGGATCCCCACAGTTTGTAAATGTAATCAACCTTGAGGTCTCTCACTTCCACAGGTGCAATTAGCATGCCCATCTGCTAATCTCTGATTAATGATGTTTACAAACAGGGACTCTGCTCGGAGCACCTCAGCCCCTCCTTTCCCCAGCTGGGAGGTGGGGGGGTCTTCTCAGCATCCCCCCCTCCCCTCTGCAGCCCTCCCTATCCTCTCCCTCCTTCTCCAGGCAGTGGGCAGAGCTGTACCCTAACGCCCATGCTCACTGCACACCTGGGAACGAGAGAGCGAACAGACAGGAAGCCTTAATGGTGGGGATGGAATCCTACCCACCTTTCATTCCTTCCCCTCTGGAACTTCAAGGATACATGGTGGCGGAGCCGCCTTTATCTCCCACCCTAGCCCTGCCTCCCGGTGTGGCGTCCTTGGTGGGTACGTGCCAGGTGCGCTGTACCAAAAGCGCAGAGAACTTTTAATTCGAATTTTTTTTATTTTATTGAGGCAAGGTCTCGTGCAGCCTATATAGTCTCGTGACTCACTATATAGTCAAGGCTGGCCTTAATCTCCTGGATTCTTCAGCCTCCATCTCTGAAGTGCTTAGATCATGGGTTTATTTGTTTCTGGAGATCCTATTCAGAGGCTAATGCATCTTAAGCAAACGCTGTACCAGCCCAGCTCTATCTTCAGCACTGGCCTCAAACTCATGGTCTCTCTGCCACAGCCTCCTGAGTGCTGGTGTTATAGACATACACCACCATGCTCCATCCTGTGATCACAGATTCCAGACAGCCCCATGTTGTTGGTCCTGATGCTGGCTTTGCTTTAGCTAAGTTGCTTCTTCTGTAAAATAGAGGCAAGATGGTGCCCATTCTATAGGTTTCAACTAGAGGGGAGGATTCATAATCAGATATATGAAAGAGACTTAGCACAGTGCACAGGAAATAGTGGATGCCCATGTGTGTGTGAGATTTGTACTGCAATGAAAATATCGATGATGATGATGAAAGGGGGCTTCTGAAGTCAGAAGATACCCGAGGACCCCTCCTTCTCTCCTCACCCCCTCTCTGGGGAGAAGGGCAGGTCCCAGCTCATTACTGGTGGGGGCTGGGGTGGAGGTGTCAGATTAGAATCACTCCTGGGTCTGTTCGCAGCTTCCCTGTTTCATTAACACCTCCCCGGTGGTCTTAGGCTCATCCTGCTGGGGGAAGCACTCCAGAAAGTTCTGACCACCTCCCACCCAGCCTGAGCTCGGTGGTCCTCATTTAAAGGCTGTGTTACAAATGTGCACAGAGAGGGGTCTTACACCAGGGAGCTATCATTGTTCCCCCTTCCTGAGTGTCCTAGAGGCCTGCCTAGTCGGGAGGCACCACACTTGGGGTACCCCATTCTTTACCTGCCCCTCTCGGCCTCTCATCCTCAGGTTGGTGTCAATCCCTCCCTAACCCCCACCCACCTCCTCCCAGGACTATATCCTGGTTCCTTCCTTCAGGATCCTCAGGGTGAATGTGGCTTGAACCTTCCGTCCAGTTCCCTCTTGCCTTTTCTGACATGGACTCGCCTCTGAAAATTGTTTATCATTTGCTTTCTCTGTAAAATGAGGAAACCGTACCTCGTGGGGGCTGCATGGAGCTCTATAAATTGTGAACCCAGTAATTAATTGCTAATAGTGGCCATTTGCTGTGGGCAAAACTGCTCTGAGCATTACCGTTCTGCAGGCAGAACCTTGTTTTTTTTTTTTTAATTTTTATTTTTTAAATTTATTTATTTATTGAGGATTTCTGCCTCGTCCCCACAACCGCTTCCCATTTCCCTCCCCCTCCCCCGATCAAGTCCCCCCCCCCCCTCATCTGCTCGAAGAGCAATCAGGGTTCCCTGACCTGTGGGAAGCCCAAGGACTGCCCACCTCTATCCAGGTCTCGTAAGGTGAGCATTCAAACTGCTTAGGCTCCCACAAAGCCAGTACGTGCAGTAGGATCAAAAACCCACTGCAATTGTTCTTGAGTTCTCAGTATTCCTCATTGTCCGCTATGTTCAGCTAGTCCGGATTTATCCCATGCTTTTTCAGACCTAGGCCAGCTGGCCTTGGTGAGATCCCAATAGAACATCCCCATTGTCTTAGTGTGTGGGTGCACCCCTCGTGGTCCTGAGTTCCTTGCTCGTGCTCCGTCTCCTTCTGTTCCTGATTTGGACCTTGAGATTTCTGTCCGGTGCTCCCGTGTGGGTCTCTGTCTCTTCAGAGACAGAGAACCTTGTTTTTGGATTAGGGTGGGGAGAAAGGGAGGAAGGTCAGAGAGAGGCCCTGTAGACTCCAGATCTCCCTCAGGTGCTTTTCCCAGCTTCTTCCAAGACTGGAAAGGGCAGAACCACCATTGAGTGGAGAGTAGGCTTCTTCTAACAAAGTTCCCTTCAATTGCAGCCCCAGAGGGATTTTCATGGCTACTGGGTCTCTCCATCACACTTCTGTTTTGGAGGACGCCCTCACTGGCTGCAGGGGAGGAGAGCTACTGGCTCTGCTTTCTCTTTTACTGGCTCCTTGTTCCTTAGACTCTGCTTTTCACTGGGGTCTGTGGGTATCAGAAAGGAGACTCCTTGAAAATCAGTTGATTATGTGGTTTATTAGCAACCCCAGACACTTTCTACAAATCAGGTGCGTCCCTTAGGGGAAACAAACAGTAGTCTCTAGTCTCGGTCCCTTTGTGAGTGTTCTAAGTCATTCTGCCCCTCTGCAGGCAGGCAGGGGTTCCTGTGCTTATTGTTATATTATTGTGTGTA